CTGCAACAGCTATAGTTGTTGGCGAGTAATACAGTTATAGCAAAGAGCAATTGCTATGTATTAATCAATTTAAAATGTATAGGTACACGATAACAAAAGTACTTGCAAACAAGGCATCAAAGACAATAATAATACCATAAAACCTTTTAGAAAAATAAAAAAAAAAGTACCGCAGTTTGAAATGTTCGTCCATACCTTATTAGCAATTCGTGTCTCTACTCTACTACGGCCATTTCCGTTTCCTTAGACCATGACGACCTATATAATTTCTATTACCTCATTTGACTCATTGAGATCCCACGATATACCATAACAAGATATTGAATATATTTAACGTTACAAATAAAGAAACGACTCGCCACAAACGATTTCCAACTGATCTACCATATTTGTATAGTTGTTAATCCATGTAGGCGTCGTGTGACGCATTTCACAACGTTAACCATTAACCCTTAGTAGACGCTAAATAAGTCTATTTAATCGATAAACTAATAAGTAAAGCCATTTTTATATGGATTTGTCGTTTTAGGTATATTTTTGTTAAACGGTTTTTTTTTATACAACTTAGAATGGCAAACAAGCTGACGGCCCACCTGATGAAAAGTGGTTACCGTCGTCTATAGACATGAGCAGTACCATGGACATAACAGAGTATACTGTTTCGCCCATGATACCCCCCATGCGTTGCCATTCCTGAGGACTCAGTTGTTATTCCTCTGTACCCTGTAAATTCACGCCATATCCCACCCTTCAAACCGAAACACAGCCATGCAAACACAACTGCTTCACGGTTGAAACACGAACGGGACAGAGGTACCCAAGCAATCGACTTTTGTACAAAGTCTCCCTCCGGATTCGATCCCGAACCACTCGCATCCACTGACTCCCTACAATACATGGAACAGCGGAGTTGCCGGCGACCGGGGCCGATTTCTTATGGTGTATACCACTAGGGGGTTTTGCCAGTAGTTGCCACGCTTGGCAGGCAAGTTGACAACCGCAGTTAGACCGTTTAAGAGGGATACTGTTGCCCATCCCTCAACCATAAATTCCCTTAGTCGCCTCTTACGACATCCACGGGAAAGGAAGGGCTGGCTCATTCTATACCGGAACCTACACGGCTAAGAATAAGACTGGACACATCACAACATATTTAGCACGCATAATGAAATCACAATATCCTTATATTAATGTGAAAGTGGTTTTGTTTGTGTATCTCGAGTCACAACCGATCATTAAGAAAGCATTTGGTATGGAGAGGGAATGTCCTTTTCCGTCGTCTTGAACACAGGTAACCGTAACTAGTCGAAATCATGAAAGTTTTTTAAAAACAAAATCTTCACATACAGTTTACCAGTTTGCTTGTAGTTAGCCATGAACTTGACCGATGTAAAAACTTAAAGATTCGAGTGTTAACACCTTGTACATAAAACGTCGTTCTTATAAAGAAAATCTTAAATGTGCGAAGTTCACTAGAGGCAGACTTTGTACAAAAGTCGTTTGCTTGGGTACCTCTGTTCCATTCGTGTTGCATGGCTGTGTTTCGGTTTGAAAGGTGGGATATGGCAGTGAATTTACAGGATACAGAAAAATAACATCTGAGTCCTCAGGAATGGCAACGCATGGAGCGTCATGGGCGAAACAGTACACTTATGTCTATGGTACTGTTCAAGTTTATAGGCGACGGTTACCACTTTCCATCAGGTGAGCCGTCAACTTGTTTGCAATTCTAAGTCGCATAAAAAAAAAGAATTATTCAATGATTTGCATTTTAAATACAGAGAATGATATTATTATACATCGTTTGTATACAATATATTATAACGTTTACAAGTGAATGTACGATAACAGCTAAGATGGTGCAACAATCACTTCTATACGTAAGTTAATATTAGATCGTATTTGGTACAGAATGCTCTTAACCGATAAAATGAAACAGATCAGAGAACATATCCAATACCCCTTGCGTTCGATATCTACGGAGAAACATCTTAAACTAATCCGTTTATTTTAGTTATGAGTGTTCATATTGATCACCTGAACCGATGATGTCTAGTAACTCCCGTGTTATTTATCAGTAAAAATAACTTTTAACCTATTTTAACATTTTTGAATAATTATTTTAAATGTTATTTAACTAAGCGAACTAAATTTTTAATCTTGGAACTAGTAGCATAATCTGTTAATAAAAATTTGGAATTACTATGAAGCGAAATATTATTTGCTTTTTATAGTGTTATTTTACTTATTTATTTATTTTATAAATTTTGTAATAACTTTAGTAGTAATAATTATTTACAATAAAGTTACAAATTATTTATATATTTGTAAAAAAAAAGCTAATGTTTATCATAAACATATTATTTAGCTATAAAAGCGTTTGATAAAATATTCAGAAATTCCAAAAATTTTGTAATTCTTATGAAATGAAATAATTGTTAATTTTACTTAGCAACAAATATGAAATTTTTTACAACAAATGTGTATTTATATAAATATACTATGTATAAAATTACATAACCATTAAAAAGCCTGTGCATGATCAACTAACACCATGCACATTTGTCATTCATGTAATCGTATCAATTATCGAATAAATACTAAGTATTAATACCATAGTTCCTTTTAGTTCGACTATTTACATCAACAAGATGACCGTGTAATAGATCCAGGTGGCATTTTATTATTAATATATATAAAAGCTTAGGGAAAAAAGCGAGGCATATATCTATAAATGGCACTAACAGCTGCGCGAGCGCCAACTCGCCGGCACTGACTCACGCGACGCGCCACGCACGTGACGTCAACTTGTTGATATGCTCTGTGTTTTGTACAATATCAGGTAAATAAATACATAGTTCGATACTGTGTTACCTTTATACACATTATGTGTAGTATAACTATCGGATAAGATTACAATACACTTTATTAAATAATAAAGTAAATTTTGGGTGATGATTTAATTGTGTTACCACTAAATATCAAATGTCATCATTAAATCAACTTATTTAAAACCGGATTTGAGGAAACTATGCAATTTACGTCTATTTGATAGTAGTGAGCTCGCTACAGCGATACGCGAATTTAGGAATATGGCTACAAATTTTTTGACTGAGCAAATTCATTTGGTCATTTGGAGAGGATGGATTAAAGAAGAATTACGAAATGGATTTATCGAGCAAGAATGAATGGAGATGTCGGTAGGGGCCGCCTTAGACGGACGCATGTCGACCAAATAGGCGACGTGCTGAAGAAGGGCCAAATTAAAAGTACTCGTAACCGGCGAGCGTGTATGAAAAGATTGATGAATGTGGAAGAAGCGAAAGCGGTTTGTTTGAATCGAAGCATTTGGCGTTCCATTGCTTCTGCCTACCCTAACGGGAGATAGGCGTGACAGATATGTATGTATGTATGCAAATTCATTTGAATGATTTTCAAATCATTCGACTACTAATTTCATTCTTTCACTATAAAGTTTCCACTAATCGCTAAAATGATTCAAATATCATTCATTTAGTAGTTGTTCATGTACAAGTCGGTATGAATGTAGCCGACCGTAGGAATAATGAAACTTTTTGTTAATTTTTAGTATTATAAGTAATAAAAATAAGCAAGTGTTAATACCTATTAGGTATCCAGAAAAATAAGTATTATATTTTTGAAACATGTTGGAGTAATATTTACTGCAGGCAAAGGCTTTTTTCTTCGCTCGCCTATTCACTACCAGCTATAGTTAAGGTAGTGGATACAGGAAAAGGACTTTTTTTCATTATTAGTGGTCTCGGTCGAACTAATTAGTGAAATGATTAGAATATGAAAATTAAATATAGTATATTACTATTTTAATTATTAAGTAGTCGAATTAGTAATTACTAATTATCCGAATAGCAAAATCAATTAAAATTCGCGCACCGCTAGCTCGCTGTATGTATTTTTTTTATACCACTGAGGTGGCAAACAAGCATACGGCCCACCTGATGGTAAGTGGTTACAATAGCCTATGAACACCTGCAATACCAGAGGTATTTATTACGCGCGCGTTGCCGACCCTGAAGAAACCTCTTTACCCCCCTTTTAAAGAACCCCATGCTGTAGTCTCTTGGGAAAACCTAAGATGTTGGTCTTTTCTTGATTCATCAGTTTAGAAAAGTATAATAATAAGAAATATTTTATCTATAGAAATGTTGGTGATTTGGTAAAAAAATTACTAATTTAATATTCACTAGCAACGTAAGTAGTTCTTTTGTAGAAAATTTTAGGAAATAAAGTAAAAACGAATGCAAAATCTAAATAATAAGTTTCAATATAGCTTTGCTTCGGAGACACTAAGCACTGTATTTAATTTAGACAGTAAATTTAATGGTCCTAAAAACAGTCTCAAACCGTCAACACTATTCAAAAATATGAATAGAATTTGACGAAATATGATTCAATTTTCTTATTATTAATAATAAGAACTAACGATGGGAGAAGGATATTAATAAACTCAATACCGAAATTTGTCCTTTGTGATGACAATGCAACCACAACTATATCCGTTGTGACTATACCGTAACTGGCCTATTTCCAATAATTTTACTAGGAACGATATTCACTTAGAATTTTTAAAAGGTATGTACGAGAATGTATTTAAAAGCAATAGGTATTTTCTCTGTTGAAAATAAAATCACAATGAATAATTTACGCTGATCACGATTGGTTTTGGTAAATTGTAAACTGCGGTAATTTATAAATATAAATCGTAAACTACTGCAAAATCGAACTACAAATTATAAATAATAATAAAAAAAAAGATATAAATTTTATATTATAAGTAATAATAATAGTAAAAAAAAAACATTTTAGTATTTTATAAAAACAATTAAGGTAAATATACTTATTTGTTACAAGAAAAAATAATCAGGCAATCAAAATAATATTTTTACATTAAAAAATAAGTCATGTACCTATCTATTTTATGACGCTTTTTTTAAATGAACACAATATTCTAAATCACTTACTTCATTATTTCTAGCGGTATTCCCAAGATATTCCGGTGGTTTATCCAATACAACTGGAGATTCCATTTTAATTCTAAACACTGGAATGTATCACAAATATTCACTTCACTTCAATGCGTGTGTATAACGCGAAAATAATAACGTATTGGGAGTAACGTATGTTACCGTATCCGTTTCTATACTGTAGCGATCGCTGGTACTCAATCGTATTTATACAATGGACGCGACGACTCCGCGATTCTCGAAACTACAAGAACGTTCGAGAGGGTACGTGGATGGAGACCCTGTACCATGTACAAGTCAATGCCCATGTCGCGTGCGAGCAGTCGCTAGCTGCAATGGATATGTAAAGCGATACATGAATGCAGCGTGTCTCATGGTACCGAGGCACGCCATAGCGCCTGCGCCTTTTGGAAATATCGTGAGACGTTTTCAAATTTGTTCTAGAGTCTTCCAAATGGTACCATTCTATAAGTTTCTAAATAGTATAAGTTACCTTAATAAAAAATGAAACTATAAGGCTCTGATATTTATCATATATAAATAAAAAATAATTTCAAATATAAAACATTAATAACTAACTTTTATTGGTAAACGTGAATATTGTCATATTTTATAAAAAAAAAGTTAATAAAGTGGCCATGACGTGTCTTCAAACAATCACGATTTATAAATTAAACAGACAAAAAATAGAACTATATTTTACAACCCAAAATTTGTATTGCAACCATATTTTATTAAAAAATAGTGTAATTTCTGCTATTACAAATGATACTAAAATTTGTAACTTAGTATGGTAAACAAGCTGACGGCCCACCTGATGGAAAGTGGTAACCGTCGCCTATAGACATGAGCAGTACCATGGACATAACAGAATATACTGTTTCGAATTAATTAATTGAAATTTCTTTTCCGATTATGTACTTAAACTATATACGTTGTCGTGTGCCATCACTGGCAATGTAAACAAAAGATGTAGTAAATCCAAATTTGTGAAGATAACATTGTTATAATTCTATTAAATGTAATCTTTAGATACAATATGGGGTATACGTGACACCCTTCTTCTTACAAGCACCCGTACACTACAGCAACAGCTTTCAATCATTTTAAATTAAGATTGCCAGCGTTGAAAATAAAATATTACTAACAATACCTATATTAAGATAAAAATAAATCGATCCTGGTACTAAGAATAAATGTCTAGGTGTAAATCATGAATCATCTTCCACATAATTTATTTACAGTGCCAATACAATAGCAATTATGTTGCATGTTTATTTTCTCCTTCAACGGTCCTTATAAAATTTTGATTAATGGAAACACTATCCAAGCGAACATAAATGAATGCGATGACCAAAATATAATTATAATTTAATCATCATATCGCTTATAATTGTAGCTGAATAGCTCTTGAGAGGGTATAATCATTCCAACTGCGTCCCACCTAAGGAATTTATTAATTCTGTCTTTTCTTGTAGACTTGGTTAATGGTAGTATATTTATTTTTGTTTATTTTAGTAGTTACGAATGTCTGTCTATTATATTTTTACGGAGAAGTGATGCATCTCAATTTAAATATAAAAAAAAGAGTTTCTATTATTTTTTAACAATTTATTTGTTTTTATATTAAAGAAGTTATTTATTTCTTGATTATCTATTTACACTTCATCGTATATATATAGATATGGATAAAAATTAGATATTCATTTGTAGTTTATTAAAAAAAAGTTAGTGACACATTTGTGACAAACTAAGGTTAAACGAGGAAAAGTTACTAAAGGACTCTAAAGAGACTCTTTTATATAGCCATTAACCAGAACTTAGATAATTATTACTAGAATAATTACTTCGATTCTCAAAGAATAAAAATAAGAAAAAGTTTTTCTTTATTTATATTATAATATATTATATTTTTTTAATCGATTATTATTTAAATTAAACGTTTAATTTGGTCATAAATTTCATTATGAAACATGAAATAAAATTAACACTTGCATAACAATACTATTGTTTATCAGCTGACTGTTTGGCACTACTATAGGTTCGCACATGTCGATGACCTATTGATGTTACACGAGGAACAAGGAAGGAATACTAAACAGTTAATCGATGAATGGAAATACATATAATTTGTTACATACATACATTCAACATTATAACTTACAGACAGCTTTATTAAAGTTTTGTGAGGTAAGGCCTTAGGTATTTTTTTTTTATTTAAACTATCATACCCACTACATCACTAATGTAATTTAGTGGGTATGATAGTAGCTTTAACACAGGAGGCATAACACTTAAACATCTTTTTTTATCTTTATTTATTTAGGGACTTTTGTCCTTTTAGGCACGCCAGTCCCATCGTAGCTTAATCGTTTTTAGGACATCATTGGTAGGTAGAATAGAGAGAAAAAATAACTTAATAACTTATGCCTCAATGCAGTTAGGTTTACATTATACATCTTAGTCCTTAGGAAAACATACGGCATTCAATGCATTATCTACACTAATATTATAAAGAGAAAAAAAATGTATTTTTGTGTGTATGTTTGTAATGAATAAACTCAAAAACCACTTTGCCGATTTCAAATATTCTTTCACCATTAGAAAGCTATATTCACCCTGAGTAACATAGGCTATTTATTGCTAGAAAAGGTTATGGATCCTTACTAAAACTTAAGTAATGTAACTCAAGGTGTAAAATAAAATGTTAAAAAATATCTTTAGTCGCGTGCGCTGAAGAAACTATTGGTGATAGAACAAAAGTATGTTCTACAATATTGAAGAAAATATTTATTACTACAAAAAAACTTCGCGATACTATTATATATGTCCAACTATTATCGTTATGTCACAATAACCACTTTTTAAAATGTCGTAAATATGTCCACTCGTGCGAAGCCAGGACGGGCCGGTAGTATATTAATATATTGGTTTGGATCTGTTGATTTTTATATTATTTATAATTGTATGTGACCATACCAACATGAACTAATTTAGAGATAACGTGGTCCGTTAATACGAACAACTAAAAAGAAAATGTTCTACTCTCAATGATTAGCAGCATTATGCTGGTACACTAAGTGTTATTCACGCTAAACACGTCACAGGAACGGTCATTCCACATTGGTACGGTATGTACGATTTGTTTATGTTTTTATAAAATCTTTATTTCACTATTTTTTTTTCTAATTAGGTACATATCAAGTTTCCCAGTGAAAAGACTTTTTACATCAATTTGTCTTTGCATTGGATAATATTAATTAATTAGCAATATAATGCAGTTAGGAAGAAATCATCTAATATGTTAAACATGCATAGTTTTTTATATTTACTAAATTGTAGTATGAACACAAAATAAAGTTACAAAAAAATAATCACGTTTAGTTTATTCATAATAATATGGATTCGATTGAATAAACAGCCATAACTGAGTAAAAGGGAATAGAGCAGAGACAGAAAAAAAAGCAAATCATGCAAAGAATGTTACGTACACAAAGTATTTCAAACATTGTTATAAATTGAATATACGCAATAGTTTTTAAGAACTACTTAAAATAAATATGGTATTTTTCTCTAAACACATCACACAGCATTAGAAGAAAAACGATTTGTACATAAACAAAACAATTCGATGTACTAGCAACTCTGAGATCAGTGTTACCTACAAATGTGATATTTACGTCAACTTATTTTTATCGTTTATACATGCATCATCTTCTACTCACGTTTCGCTTCATTTTACACTGTCATTCTATTGTAATACAGTTGTTTCACTTTCAGAACAATGAATTGTGGATTTCCCAGTTGAATTGGACACTTAATTTTGTTATTTTGCCTTCAACACCACTCACTCGTACAGCTCTGCGCGTCGTTTTGCATGTATTATGGGTGAGAGCCGCGATACACCGAAATAGAACTTTTGGAATAACTCTACAGAAATTATATTTCTTGCGTCACTGTGAAAACTCTTGACGAGATGAAGATCAAGAGCGAACGCGCAAATTTTCTTGTTGGAATTAAAGATTTGAAGGCGCCTCTCTCATGTATCTATAAACTTAGTTATTTACCGTCCGAGATAATTTTCTTGCACAAATCGTAAAATGTGGAATCCGCTTTATTTAGGCTTCAATATAAATGAAGCGCACACAAGAACATTCGGTAAAATTACAGAGCACAAATAATTTTGTTCTGGCGTTCTCTACTGCTAAGATATTAAAACAACTTAACTAAAAACCACTCCAAGTTAACTAAGTGAAGTTTTCAAGGTTCACGAAACAAGTAAAGATATAAAACGAATATGAAACCAATTAACAGTTCATAAATGCTCATTAGTAATATTCTTTATAATAATTTCGTAGACTATGTTTACGTTTAAAATTGTTAGAAGGCAATTTGATTCACAAGCCAAATTTTAATGTATTATAAGTAGGTACAGTGAAATAGTAATGAATCATTTAAAATAGTAATAGAGCTGAGACGATCGGATAATGATTCTAGAAGTCAATACAAAGATGAAACAATTTAAGTCGCCTCAATAGCAAAAGGTTGAATTCTTGTATTCTATAATTCTTTCGTTATTATCCTCGTTTGTGATATGTCACATTAAGCAACACGTGAGATAAATACTAATTTCTTCATCTATAAGTGCAGTAAAAGGGAAGTCCTTGAGCAGCCCACTGCTGTTTCTGAATCATTATCACCCACGCGAGCCTGATGCTAGTGCAAATTGCAATCTATTAGTTGATCAGCTTGCTGCATTGTATTCAGCAGGGTTGTCAAGTGAACTTAAAAAACTGCACGAATTACATTTAAAACTCTGCCCAGAAAAAACAAAGGAAATTCTCGTTTTTCTTGGAAATAAGTAAGTTTATTCTCTAAAAACAGTAATAATTACTAATTGATCTATCGAATAAAACGCAGAAAAAAATCACTGTATCTAGAATGTACTTATGTAGAAGCTTGAAACTTAAGACACACTTTAAATTTATAAAAGTTACAAATGTGTTCTAAGATAAAAGGGTTTAGAAATTCCTGTACAAACAGGAAGTTTATGTACATAAAAACGTGCAAATAGAGTAAATAAACAAATCTGGGATATTTTGGGATTAATGAGGTGATACTTGTGGCCTTGTCGTAATATAGGTGGAGCATGACAAAGTACCTATTTTATTTTTACATTCATGATGTCAC